TGGAGGTCAATGGCACATGTTCACGTGGCCTTACGCTGAATTTTGTGCAGCAGTGATGGATGTCGGACACACATATAAAGTTTAATGGACTTTATTGTTAAACACAAGGGCCGATACTGACACACTTAAAAGAACAAACCCTCTCTAGTGGCTAACTCACTGGCAACTTACGGGGCCTAATGGTAAGAGCTGACATTAACTAAACTTCAAACTTAATTGCTCAGTCTGTGCCAGAGTCTGCTCTACTGAGCAACATCACCAGGGAAAAAAGAGAGAGGAAATGGAACCTGAACTCTGAACCTAGCCAGTGCATCTCCCCCCAGATATGTCCACCCAAGAGTAACCGTCCTATTCAGGAATTGGCTTGCGTTTGCAGTGGCGAAGGTTTGGCTGTTGGTTGCAGTGATGTTCAACTGCCTTTGGATGTAAGTTGGATGTGAGCTTGACGCCACGCTCGGCACGGTCATTGACCACGTTCATTGCACGTACATTGACCTCGCTTTTTTTGAACGCAGCATTGGTCGCCAATTCCTTCACATCGAGAGACATAAATTCTGGATCAATGTGCAGCTGGTGCATCCCAAACCAGCAATCCTTATTGGTGAGGTCAGCCAAGCTGGTGGTTGGCAAGAGGGTGGGGAACTTCGGCTAGCCAGTGACAAAGCGCTGCTCGGGGACGTGCAGTGGGAGATCAGCGGGCTTGTGCTCCAAGATCGCTCTGGCAAGTGCACGTTTGTCATTATTGGGCACCTTGCTGCTGAAGAGAGCCAGGGGTAGCATCTCACCTGTCCCGATGCCTCTCCAGCGCCTTGATCGCTGATGCTGCAATGCCCTCATCTACAGCCTTGTATACCTGCAGGTGGTGGTAGAGTGTCAGGTGATTCCAGGCAGCATCCGATGTGCTGCTCCATCAAAGCCAGCTTGAGAGTATAGAGCAGCTTGGCCATCCATCGTGCCTTGTGGAGCGCTCCCGGTCGTTGGAAGGTCACTGCAGTCTGCTCTTCACCATCTGCATCCAGAAACACAAGACACAGCTGCATAAACTCATGGTAGTCACCTCGCTTGTGGTCAGTGACTTCTTTTGCGCACCTGATAAGTTCAGCACGTAAATTGCCCAGGAGTGGTTACTCGGTGTTGCCAGGAATGTAGCGGGACCATTGGCTACTTGATTCTTGTGGCAACAGGTTCCATTTCTCTCTCAGACATGTGAACAAGGTAACCTCTAGCGAGCGTGATGACTCCACCTTCAGGTCTGTGAAAACCTGGTTCAGGAGGATCTCACCAATGTGGTGCGGGCACCCAGACCAAAGCAGTGGTCGGCCCAGTGAGAGCTGCATGGCAATGCAGGCTGCTGTGAGATGGCTGGTGTTTGACGCAGTGGTGTCAAATGCCATGTTGACAACCTGTTCAGCGAAGCACCAGTCCTGCCGCAACTTGCATGTCAACCGGGCAATGATCACTCCACATGCCTCATTGGTCTGCTTCTTATACGCTGGGACACCAATCAGTTTCAGCCGCTCTGCATCTCCAACCACCACTGTAAGACGCTCCTCCAACTGGCGCACATTGCTGAGCATCGGTGTTAACTTCCTGTCCCAGTGTAGGGTGCACAATGGAGGTGGTGTCCACTGCTTGTGCTGTTCCTCACTGATCTCCAGCGTCTTGCTCGGTCAGCTGTTGCGTAAGATGTAGAGAGATGTGTACATTCACCGCCTGACTCTGCAACAAGGCCACGCGTGAAGGCAGCCTGTTGCATTGGTGACATCTTCAACCTTGTAGCCAGTGACACGACACTTGGTCGGCTAAGGATGTCATGTAGAATGAAGACGTTTTCCACAGCTTGTTGTTAGCATTGACTAGGTGTAATGAGCACCAAATACCTATAAATACGACTTAAATGACTTATGATAAATAAGTATACAAAGACACAACTACAGATATGATAGTAATATGTAATAATACATACCCAACACAGAAAGATCACCTCAAAAAGAAAGATCACCTCATTTTTCTTGAGCTGTAGTATTGTTTACCTCAGATCTCCATGGCGACGATTGAGCACTGTTAACCACTTTATCCAACAAAAACAGATGTGCGGTGGCACCCCTAAATCATCATGTACTGGAAAAATATTTTGCATGTGTTGTTTCTACATATATTGGAACACTTTTAGCACCCAGCCATATCAAAATTCAAGAACTGTGATGCACATGTAGTTGAAGGTGAAGCCCTATTATGATATATCATTTTGTTGTTCGATATTCTGTCTGTCTGCTTAAAGTGTCAGTGAAGTTTAAAACATAAGGTAATTTCCACGTCAAGGCAAGGTTTTATAAATAACTACTTATACATGGTTTTCTCATTCATTTCCATCAAAATCTAAGCAAAAGGAGAATTTGAAAAATAACATGACTTTCCATTTATCAAGCAATTCACTCTGTACAAGCCTTCATATTAGCATAGCAACATTAATAAATGAGTAAACTAATTGAATTTACAGACAATTGGACTTATCCTGATGAAGGAAGTTTATCAGTCCTCTTAAGGCAATATGGGTGAACTTTAGTCATTGAAAAGCTTGAAAAGTATTCAGAAACAAAACAAATAGAATGCAGGAGGAAAAGAAAAAAAGTTGGACAATACAAATGTCTAAACAAGCAAACACAGGAAACATTGTTCTGTCTGTATCTCATTATAATGAGTTGAATTTTACAGCTATACTTTATATCTGCTCTTTGATCGCAGCAATCAATCTTTAATCATTACTAAATAAATGTTTGTTTGTTTAATGTAGACATTTTCAGTCATTTAGTCACATTATTTAGAAAAACATAATGAAACTGCCACAAGGTGATCACGTTTGGGTACGAAAGCAGTACACTCACTTGTACTGTGGGATCTCTCATCTTCACTGTCGCTTCCTGCTGAAATCACACAGCTCTGCATTGGTGTGTCTCCAATTTTACGTGGATTAGCATGACATTCCAGCAGATAGTATTACATTTAAAGTAACAGCAGACTGTACCCAACTCTGAACTAGTAAAAAATCAAGTTTGAACAAATGAGAATATGTGTACTAAACTAACATACTGTACATTTGAGTATTCCATTCATTCACTGTGCCTCCACTGCCTCGCTTGAGTGACAAGCCAACAGGTAACTTGTTACTGTAATTTTTTTTTTTTAAGTTCACAAACAGTCTTACCGTAATCCAAAACATTTCCCTCTGTAATGTTGACTCAAAAATGCTTCCACACATTACTTCTCAGATGGTTTGGTGCCATGATTATTTATTCAGCATGCCTCACTAGTTTCTCATTTTTCAACAGTGGACATGCAACTGATCAGTGACAGTGAATTTTATAAACATCCCTCCGGTATGGCACTGTGAATTTTTGGATAACCTTTGGTTGGATCATTACACACATTCTTCACATGTGAATGGTAGTTGAATTTTGAATAAAGCGTGACACTGGAGTTATGAACTGCTTTTTTCAAAGAAAGCTGTTTCATAGCTTATCCCATCCCATTGATTAACAAGAAGTTTAATTAGAAGTCAAGATCAAAAAACACGTCATTTCAATGAAGCCACTGTACAGTGGTGTTCACAACTCAGGGTCCAGCACCCATAAAGCCATTTACAATCAAACATGTGCAAGTACACATTCCAGGTAGATTTGTTAACTGAATGTCATAATACTACTATTTACCTCATGATTGACAAGATTGGTGATAAAATGAATGTAGCTTTAATAACTTGTCAGAGTTGTAATATCCTTCCTCATAATGTTTTAAACTACTGTGCACCTTATCCGATGAATAAGTCAAACAAAATTTCCTGCATTGTATTTTATCTTTCTTGTAGTAACAGTGGATGCTTGGGTATGTTTTAAACGGTTGTTATATTAAGTGTGAATGCCCACTTAGTAAAAGTAGACACTGTTAATTATCTCTGCCAGTCAGAGCCTGGAGGGGATCATGCATTTGGTCATGTGTGAGTATGTGTCAACAGCTTATTTTACATACTACTGAACACTGCCCTTATATTTTTGTGCACATACTGTAGCTCAAGCAACTCTCATGGTTGCGTTGCTCCACAATTTCTGGAAAAATTTTATTTACTGAGTCCATAGTAAAGCTTATACTTTCATAGTATTTGCCATTTTACAATGTGCATCACAACATAGCAAAAGGCATTTCCAGCAATCTACTTGGCTAAAAATAAGGCTTACCTAGTCTGTTGCAGGCCACATTTTGGCCTTTGTCATAGCTCAAAGCCACAGAAAGGTTGGGTTACATCTTGAACTGCAGCATCTGCAGATTATTGTTTTTATACCTGATATGTAATGATCCACTAAAGTTATGCATGCTACGACATGATCAAATCCCCGTTTTTGTTATCTTTGCCGCCATCTTGACTGTAAGGGACCCTGGAGGCACAATTGAGTGAGATTCAACTCTTCTTTGTTTGGTAAGGGTTGTAGAGTTAGGGGAGAGGGGAGGGGTTTTATTTTGTGTGGCGTGTTACAACAAAATGTTCTAATTAAATAACAAGATTCAAATTCATAAGTTTGGATATCCTGTTTATTGTTTTGTTACCTTGTTTATACAGTTAGACAAACCCAGGACACTTTGTTCCAATACCATTAGTCAACACTATTCTATGCATCTTAAAGAAAACTTAGGCTACACTGTTCAAAACACTTTATGAAAGACTTTGCTTACATATAATGAGAACACTTACATACTATAGCAAAAAAGTCTTCATTCCACTAATTTCATGCATAGACACTGGACACAGCCCTGCACTCCCTGTGCCCCGCACAATTCCAGTTAGAAATATCAGCTAACTGGAAAAATAAGTCCACACTGTGTAAGGAGGCACAATTCTATTTAAACAAGAGATTTTAGACATCAGTCTTGTTGCCACACCGCAAAATACTTTGCTTTGACAAAGTAATGCTGTAAAGCTGCAAAGATATGATTTTTTTTCTTATATGTTTCTTATATCTAATCACTGTGTTTGTTGATGATGATTTCAAAGACATTTTAAAGATATTTGCTCTAATTATATGTTTTCAAACTGTCATGATTTTGTGTATAGAAAAGACTGCAAACCTTTAACAACAAACTAGTACTTTGTGTGTAACCACAACCCTGTAAAGTAAGAGCAGCCAGCAATAAATCCTCTATTTTTCAGTGGCCACAGTGCCGATGGTCGTTCATTTCTCCATTTCCATCTTTTTTTTCTTTCTTTTTTTTGTTACAAGGAAGGTTCGGGTGGGCATATCGTTAATAACGGAATAGTGATTCATCATTTAATTATGATTTGACAAATGCTCGCGCCTTCCCCATTCTCGGCATCCTCCTCCCTTTCAATTCTCCGCTCTGCCAAACTGTCACGCACTCCCCCCGTGGGATTAATTCGAGCTGTCTGTCTTTGTGAGGCTGCCGGCGCTCTCGGGGCGGCGGGTGCACGACACTGTCAATGAACAGAGAGCCTGACACTTCCAGGGAGGCGCACACAGACGCACGCTCCCCGCTCCCCTTGTTATTGTTTTCACCTTAACCCTTTCCTGCTTGCTTTTCTGCCTGCCTGCCTGAGTGTATGTGTGTGCACCTTCCTCCCCTCCCCTCCCATCTCCTCTCCTCTGTCTCCTTCTCCTGATTTCTCCCCTAGCTTTCTTTGCCCCTGTCTCTCTCTCGCTTGTCTGTCTCTCTCCTCTTTCCTGTCTATCGCTCCCCACCCAACCTACCTCCCTCCCTCCCACCCAGCGTCTCTCCATCTCTCTCAGCCCTTATAGAGAGAGGGGCAGCAGCATCAGGAGGAAATATCACACAAAGAAAATGTTGGCTGTAGTTCCAATGGAAAGGCAGCGTGAACAGCATGGGGAAAAGTCTTGTACATCAATTAAAATATTTATCTGTTTGCATATAAAAGTTCAGAGAAAGGTTATACACATTTTAAGACTTGGTAACCAGCCACAACCTGCACAGGATGGAAACTAAAAACTCAACAGACCATTTTAGATCACGTCAAGCCTCCTGGTGGCAAGTGACGCTAATGGGTGGCCATTAAAACAAGGCATGTTTGAGTTGAACTGGAGCGCCCGTGTAGCCAAATCCAGCAGGCCTTAGCCCCAGCTGGAGAGATAAGGTTTAATACCAGGCACAGGGCCCAGTCTTATCTCCCCTACTGATAGAGAGAGCACGGAGAGGAGAGGGGAGGGAAGAGGAGGGGAGGGCAGGCGAGGAGAGAAAACAAGAGGGACAAAAACAAGTGTCTTGCAGGGACCCTGGCTGGCTGGTTGCGTGAGTGCGTCCTCCCGCCGTTGGCATAGAAACTAATCCACGTTCACATTTAGCACCTGACTCGTTTTTTTTCCCACCTCTCTCTCTCTCCACGGCCATGGTGCAGTGGGAGTTGGGGGAGGAGAGGGTATCCTTGAGCTTTCTCCCTCTCATAATGAGGCTTGTAGGAGGGAGGGGAGGGAGGACAGAGCTGGCTGGTTGGCTGACACCACTGGCCTGGAAGATCCAGCTGCGTCTCGCTGTAGGACACTGCCGCTGCTGTTCTACAGCCATTTTGCTACACCACACCTGGAGGACAGCAGACAGTATTGGAGACAGTATTGATTGATCGGGCTAAACACACATACACTAGCTGCTGGGAAAGATGAATTGGTTCTGGCCAACGTTTGATTTTCCCCAGTGGTTTGTTAATCCTGTCATGTCTCACATACGTTACAACACACAGCGGACATTGTTAACTTAGACATAGTCTAAATACTCCACACTTTACACTCGCACATCTCATGCACATAACAAAAAAGTTATAAGTTCAGTTAAGGTGTTCACATTGCTCAACGTAACTTGATTTTCCCCAGTAGCCTGGGTTCATATTATTTCTTTCTAATCATATAAATGTCTGGAAGTATATCTGGTACATCTTCTTGATGCCATAAAGAAGCCATAAGGAGAATGGAGCGACTTGTTTGTTAATTTTTTTTCATGTTGATTAAAATGAATAAGCTCAGCTTAATCTGCCTCTTTTAAGTGTGTTAGTTGAAACATGAAAGCTGTTTCACCTTCATGCTAAGCCAACATCTATGCCACTATGCCTTTTTTTTTCACACAGCACTTTGGACCGTGCTCACTTCATTGTCTCTGTGGCGCAGGCACAGAATCAAAACTTAATATTAAAAAATAGAATAAAATATTTAGTATTGTACTTCTATGATATTGTCAGAAGATGGCAGTTAAAAAAGGATCAAAATGCATTTATTCTATACATTCTTCTTCCTTGTCAAAACCTGGTGCCTACATTACCCACATTGCAATTTCCATTTCTATCTACATACACCACTGATCCTCTGGACGTTGCCATGTTGCGCCGCCATGTTTCTACAGTAGCCGAAATGGACAAACCGTGCAACAGAGCACGATTTGTCATTACTTTAAATACATACAAAGAACAAGAACAAGAACAAGTAACGTTAGTAGTAGTAGTAGAAGTTGTCATGTTATGAGAAGTAAGAAAAGAAGAGAAATTTGGACAAAGGAAGGAGCACAGGTATTATTTAGAACAAGAGGGGTGAGCGGTGATGGTGCATTCATGTGGTGTCAAAATAATCAGAATCTTTATTTCCTTCTTAAATCTTTATTCCAAAAAGAGTGTATGGTACATAAAGAAGTATACAGAACTTTGATTTATGCAAAATCACATATTGCACATACATATATTGCAAACATGCAATAACAACGGTTAGTTTGCTGTCCATGCAGAGTGAACTAGATGTCTGCGTGTTGTATATGCTCTTATAATGTTAATCCACCACATCTTTGTAGCAGCACCCATGTTGATTCCACATTCCAACTTAAGAGCACATGAACATACACTGAAGTCGGAAGAACGACTTCACAACTCGGGAAATGGGACCATCCAAGGAGAATGTGAATGCACCGTGAGCCGCTGGTTGCAATTCACAACCCACACCACTAGATGCCACTAAAGCTTATACACTGAACCTTTAAGATAATTTATCAGACAAAAAAGGTTTGTACAATTTATTCCACGTATGCAGTAGTACTCCTCAAAACCTGTCAACAGACTTGTAACATATAGAGTATCCCTCTAATGATTGAACAAAATCACAGTTTCCATGCTTACATTTTATTTTTAAAGATACGACAAAAAAAGTTGCGTACAGTTGTTTTATTAACTGTAATTTACTATGAAGCACACCTGATATATAGCATTAACTTGACTAAGGGCACTTAAAAATCACTAGCTAATACATGGTGGGGCTACACCGACTACAGAGAGACCATGTGGAGGACTGAATTGAAGTGTTTTCTCAAATTGCAGTGGAGAATGTTGATAGTGGAGACTGCAAGTTTTAAAAAGTTGCATTTATTGTCTCTTTTTCAATAACATACATCTAGCGAAGTATTTCCACTGCAAACCTTCTGCTGACCGCGAGCACTGTTCTCCATCAGAGTAAATAAAACAACAATACTCTGTAAGTACATGGGTAGACCACTGGTGCTCAATAATACAAAGTTGATAAGAGAATGAAAGCACAGGGCAATATAATTAAAGCACAATAGGTGCTGATTATGTAGGATACATCCATCTAGTGTTTCGGTAATGTTATCATCAGCTGAAATCTGATTCTCTCATATAAATCGAAAACCTATGACATAGTACCTAGGTATCTGTTTACTCCTGGCATCAAGTATACACCAAGCCTGAGCAACCGTTTCAGCTTAAGAAGGATTTCAATCATAATACCATTTTATACTTGAGGCCTATGAATTTCCAAATTAATCTGAAGGCATATGTTTTTGTTTGTAGAGAAAGGAGACAATCTTGACAGTTGCTTTCGGCCACAGTATCGTCTTTGATATTACCACTCGGGGGCACCAAACACAGAAATTCTGATTAATGTGACTTTAATCGTGTTGCAATTGAACTTCTTAAACAATTACAATGTCCAGTAGAATAAAAATGGGTTGAAATTGGTGATTTAAATGTAATTGAACCAACATTTAACTTTTAACACTCTCTTGGCACACTGTTTTGTTAGTCCGTCACAAAGACGTATTTCCAAGTGAAGTCGTTAAGCTGCAATATGGCACAAAGACTCTTATTTGACAACAGCAGAATGTGACACTCGCATTAACACAGAACAACTTCATGCTGTGTATGTACATCTGCAAACATTCACACACATAAACACACCACCACAGCCTGATGGGCTTACCAAGGTGTTTATTTTCTGCTCTTGACGTGGGTTGCACTCTCACGTCAGTCCGTCCCCACCCCACTCAGTCTCTCCCTATGACATTAGTCAATGAGCTGGAAGAAGGAAGAGACGAGAAGAGGCTGCTGGAGCGCCATCTCTCTTCTACCCTCTACTCTACCCCACCTCATTTCATTTGTGTGTGTGTGTGTGTGTGTGTGTGTGTGTGTGTGCGCGCTGGTACACTTGCACAATAGTCTCTTAAGGCTTTTGGAGGACGCCGTATGAGAGCAGTGTGTGAGGTACTTTCCCGTGGCTGTCCTTCAACTCCCCACTTACCTCTCAGAAGAGCTCTCTGCTTCTGCGCTGCCCATGTCACATCCATTGTCCCTAATTAGGGATTCAGGACCCGAGCCCATTCAATTAATGTGCACCCACAATGCACCACAGATTCACCCCAATCTTCACCCTTTCACCCCCTCCCCCTTTAGCCCTAAGAATCCCTTTTTTGCAGCAACAGCGGTTTAGACGGGCTCAGGTAATTGTTGAGAACACAGGAATGATTTTCAGTAAATTCGAAAGAAGCAAACTAGAGCTAGTTTGTCCAAAAAAGCTGCCATTACATGATGTTAAAATGAAAAAAGTATTATTAAAAAATAATATTTATACCATCATCATTGACAGCAAAAGGTTACATTGTTACAATAAAATCATCACCAAATATGCTTCTCTATCTGAGCTGCAGGAGAAAAATGTCTTTTTTCACATTTCTCACTGTGCATGATTATGACTTAATGAAGAGGTCTCATGTTTGCGGTCACACTGTATTTGCACAAGGGTAACTGAAGCCTTGATATGCCGGCAGCGCAAAAGCTTGAAGACAAATGAGCTCGTACCCAATTTCTCACCAGTTTTAGTACCTGGACTAGTTGGCAAAATCTGGGCAGGGTGATGAAAATGAGAAAGTGTCTGCAACTACAGTGCCATCATTTTGTCTTCCTGCAAGGCACTTAACCCCCAGCTGCTCTGATGGAGCAGCTTAGTGGCTGACGGACTGTGGTGCTACTTAGCAGCTCACTTTGCTTCCTCACTCTGCCCAGCTCTTACATTACCAGAACAAGTAAACCTTTCAGAAGGTACAATCAAAGACTTCCTAAAGTCTATTGCGGAGTACACATCAACACTGATACTAGGGCTGTCGCGGTGAAGTAACTCTCCCCCCGGTAGTATGTTGGGGCTCAACACCGCGGTATGCAGTATTATCGCCTTATTCATCAATTAAGTAATTTGTTGGCATATAGCATAGTAAGAGTGTCTGTGTCTGTCACCTCACTGCACAGCGAGCCGCTAACAGCAGCTTTATGGTCAGAGCAAGCTAGCTGCTGGGTGCTAGTCAACAACATTGCCAAGCAAACTCATTTTTGTAGTTTGACCGTGTCTTTTTCATACATAACGTTAGCTCTATTGTCACCTTCAGGGCTATCAAGTCAATTTACATACAGCAGCAACGCACACACACAGAGCAGGTGTGGAGAAGAATATGCTGTACACTAACCACTGCGCTGTAGTTAGGTTATAACAACATTTCCACAGAAAGCAACATGGAAAAACAGCTGCAGGCATCCGGCACACTACGCTCGTTAGTTAGTGAGCTTCAAATGAGGCTTACCGTTCACAGTTTCTCTCGACTGTCCCTCAGGATTACAATGTTAGTCCAACATCACCGAGCCTGCTAGTCACATTAGCTACTATTAGACTGTCCCTCTGTATACCTTAGCAAAGTAAACTCATTTTTCAGGTCAAATCAATTTGTGCCTACAGCAATAACTTTTCTCAGAGTCATATACAAGCTGAGCCACATAAGACACCATCTGTACGTAGAAACTCAATCTGGAAAGTTCTCTTTAACAGGGAGCAAAATTAGGGCAAGTTCAGCAAGAAGTGCAAAGTGGTATGTCTTGGGCACCTGCTATGTTGGGTCAGGTTTGCCCTGCTTTTTCTGAAATACTTTTACGTTCCCTCATAATAGCTTTTGCATTATTTCACATTAAGATTTGGAACAATTAAGAGTGTTGGTCCAGTTATAATACACTGCCAGTTTAGGGACACGCTAATATAAAAATACTATAAAAAGGAAAGATGGCATAACACTTTATATTAGCAATTAATGCTAATTATAGCCACTGGCTGTGTGCACAGCTGCAGCAGCTTTGCCTGGTTGTGGTGGTTAATGCTGTGCATATGATTATTGCCTGGACTATGGCTGCATGTGCAGTTGAGTCTCCAGCCATGCTAGTGGCTCTGTGAGGTGGTGCTTTGAGCTTTGCTAACATTCTCACAATGTTAACAAGCTGA